ATGCAGACATACCAATGGTAGGTGCTTATAGGAGGGTATATATAAACCAGTTTGTAAAAGGGGGCGTGGCAAATCCCATATGCGCGGAATTTTTTATCAGCTATAACTTCGGAACCATAAGTCACACGAATTTGAAATGTGGTATGCCAACATGTCAATGGTAGGTGCCTATAGGAGAGTATATATAAACGAGTTTGTAGAAGAGGGGCGTGGCACATTCCATAGGCGTGGAAATTTTTATCAGCTATATCTACGGAACCATAAGTCCCACGAACTTGAAATTTGGTATGCAAACATGTCAATGGTAGGTGCTTATAGGAGGGTATATATAAACAAGTTTGTAAAAAGGGGCGTGGCACATCCCATAGCCGCGGAATTTTTTATCAGCTATAACTTCGGAACCATAAGTCACACGAACTTGAAATTTGGTATGCAGACATACCCATGGTAGGTGCTTATAGGAGGGTATATATAAACGAGTTTGTAAACGGGGGCGTGACACATCCCATAGGCGTGGAATTTTTTATCAGCTATAACTTCGGAACCATAAGTCACACGAACTTGAAAATTGGTATGGAAACATGGCAATGGTAGGTGCTTATAGGAGGGTATATACAAACGAGTTTGTAAAAGGGGCGGGGCACATACCATAGGCGCGGAATTTTTTATCAGCTATAACTTCGGAACCATGAGTCTCACGAACTCGAAATTTGGTGTGCAGACATATCAATGGTAGGTGCTTATATGAAGATATATAGAAATGAGTTTGCAAAAGGGGGCGTGGGGCATCCTATAGGCGTGGAATAATTTGTCAGCTATAACTTCGGAACCATAAGTCCCACGAACTTGAAATTTGGTATGCAGACATATCAATGGTAGGTGCTTATACGAGGGTATATATAAACGAGTTTGTAATAGGGGGCGTGGCACATCCCATAGGCGTGGAATATTTTATCAGCTATAACTTCGGAACTATAAGTCCCACGAACTTGAAATTTGGTATGCAGGCATATCAATGGTAGGTGTTTATAGGAGGGTATATATAAACGAGTTTGTGAAAGGGGGCGTGGCTTATCCCATATTCGTTGAAAGGTTTATCAGCTATAACTTCGGAACCATATGTCGCATCAACTTTAAATTTTGTATGCAGTTATATACATATTTGGTAGGTGCTTATAATAAGGTCTGTATAAATGAATTTGTAAAAGGGGGCGTGG